CTGCGAGTGCAGCCGCCTCGGCTCGGCATCTCCTAAAGGGGCCCTCCGACTTCGGGCTGGGCCAGTCTGGCGCGCGGTGGCGGAGCCGGGCACTGCTTTCCGGGGGCCCCGAGCGCGAGGCACTTCTCCCCGGAGTTGTGCGCAACTTTCCCCGGCCCTGGCGCGGCTCGGCTCGGGGAGCGCGGACGCCGCAGGTTGCTGAACCCCGAGCCCGGCTGCACGCACCTCGGCTGCGCGCCGGCGCTCCCTCTGCGCGCGCACCCCGGGGGTCCCCGGGGCTCCGCGGGCGAGATGCCTTTGGGGCACATCATGAGGCTGGACCTGGAGAAGATCGCCCTGGAGTACATCGTGCCCTGTCTGCACGAGGTCGGCTTTTGCTACCTGGACAACTTCCTGGGCGAGGTGGTGGGCGACTGCGTGCTGGAGCGCGTCAAGCAGCTGCACTACGACGGGGTCCTGCGGGACGGCCAGCTGGCGGGGCCGCGCGCGGGGGTGTCCAAGCGGCACCTGCGGGGCGACCAGATCGCGTGGATCGGGGGCAACGAGGAGGGCTGCGAGGCCATCCACTTCCTCCTGTCCCTCATCGACAGGCTGGTCCTGCACTGCGGCAGCCGGCTGGGCAAATACTATGTCAAGGAAAGGTCCAAGGTAGGATGCGTGCGTGCGCCCGGCCGCCCCTGCAGCTGGCGGGGACTGGAAGCCGCCTCGCTGGGCCGCAGCGAACTTTTGTCTTTTAGAAGTCAGCCTGCTTTACCTCCCCACTGCGTCCTCCACCTCCCTACTCCTTAAGCACAAGTCCATGTGAAGGGGCTCGGGTGCGTCATGGTGATGACCTTCGGTTGACTTTGAGAAATGGCTGTAGTTGGTGATGAGAGCAAGCTGTGACTTGTGAAGGTTCTCAGGGACCCCAAGGAGGGCAGAGGATGTCCGAGACACTGAGACACATGTCCCTGAAGTGCCCGCCTCAAACCCACGGACACTGCCCTTCGTTGTAGGCAGGGGCACTCCTACTTCTAGAGGCAAGTGCGAGTTTTGCATTGTGGCCTTTGGTTGTGGAGCTTGGCGGGCTTGGGAAGGGAGAGTTTGACGTGGGAAAAGGTAAAACCGCACTTTCTGAGTGCTGCCCTTGACCCCTGGCGCCCAGGACCCAGACCATCTGCCCCACTGAAAATTCTCTCCTGCTGTCGAGCCCCGCACCACGGTCTGTCTTTTCCTCTCAACTCGTGACAAAGTCCACAGAAAACAATCAGATAAGGACTCGGGAGTTGTGAGGTACCCGGGATGGAAACCTTGTTTTTGTTCACATGGCCGGAAATGGCTCCCGGGGTGGTAATTTATCTTGGAAACACAGGCAGCCGTGCCGACTAAAGGGAACATGTAGGTGACACGTGCGCATTACTTTGGGTTGGTCTTGCTGCCTGGACCCTTTCTCCCTTCAAGGACAGTCCAGCCTGCTTTCCAGGAGCAATGCAGAATGGTTGGCTGATGTTGTGGGCTGGTGGAGGAACTTTGAGAACCGTGGAGAACTTTTCCTGAAGTGCGCTGAGGCAGAGCTCGCTGGCAGCTGAGGGAGGGTGAACGTTCCCCTCTGAACCATTCCTTGGCAATGAATGTAACGTTTCTCCATGTAAGCTTGGTCTGGGGATAAACTGTTCTCTCGTTTGACCCACCGGCTGAGAGGAACACCCCTATAAAAAGTCGCTGACTCTAAGTGTGTAGACGCGCGGAGGTGGGCGAGTGGAGGGGAAGCTGGACACTTGCTGTCAAGCTAGGAGCCCCGCGGAGACTGGCTGCTGGCGTCCTTATGGGTGGACCCCAAATAAATCCTAGAAGAAATGCTGATGTCTAAACTTTGACTTGGGACTAGCTCAGAGTTCGCTGACCTCTGTAGATGGTAGGGTATTAGGGTTAGGGTTAGGGTTAGGGTTAGGGTTAGGGTTGGTAGACAGGGTCATCTTTGTTTTGATCGGTTTTGTATTTACACTAAACAACCTGCTGATAACCCTGAGGTTAACCTCGGTTTTGCTGAAGCACTTGTAGCCTTAACCCGGAAGAGCAAATCGCTCCTTATCAGCTTTTTAAATGTTTCTTCCAAACTCAGGTGTAAAGAAATTTTCTCTCATTCTTCTAGGGACAAATTTTTTCTCCGGGGGAGGTTAGAATTCATTGCTAAACAATGTTAGGAACATATTTGAAAGTTAAATATTTTTTATTTGACTTTGACTTACTGGGTGCAGCAGGGTCCCAGGCTAGAATTTAATTCACAGGGAAAGTGCTTTGTCAGAGAAAGGGAAACAAGGTCTGTGGGTATGATTCTTTCAGTTCTACCTTCTGGGTGGACCAAGAAACTTTTCAGTTACTTCTGCCAGAAGGCAACTTTGAGTTGAAAATTCATCCACCTTTCCTTACCCACAGTCCAGCCTGCTGGGGTTGCTCTCAGTCCTAACCCTTTAGAAAATTCACCTCTAGATTGGAATATTCTCTGGCTAACTAGAAACAAAGGCAAACCAAGCTTCAACAATTAGTATACTAAAAAAGATTTTAGACGTTGGTATACTTCTATAAAGGGGTCTGTGGCCTTGAGTCTCTCTCCATACTTTGAAGTTCACTGTAGAATCATCTTGTCTGTAGGGTTTAGGCTAACTAGTATTTATTTATACTAACTAGTATTTCTACTAGCTGATATTTATACTAACTAGCACGCTTCATTAGCTTGTTTTCTCTGTGTTTCTCCTCTGGTTTGTTTACTGCTGCTTCCCACGGTAGCGGTGTAGACAGCCCTAGTTTCCTGCTTGAAGTTTCAGCAAATTTTTCTTATTTTGAATCAGGGTCTCTCTAGTTAGCCTGGAACTATGTAGCCCAGGCTGACCTTGATCTCACAGAGATCTGCCTCTGCGTCCTGAATGCTGGGATTAAAGGTGTGTGCCACCATGCCCTGTGGAAAAACATTTTTTTGAAAGAATTTGTACTTTTTTTTTTTTTTGGTGTTTTTGAGACAGGGTCTCCTGGTAGTCCTAGCTGGCCTGGAACTCCCTATGTAGACTAGGCTGGCCTTGAACTCTCAAGAGATCCGCCTACCTCTGCCTCCCAAGTGCTGGGATTAAAAGTGTGCGCCACCACGCCCGGCCAATTTGTACATATTTTAAACTTGTATTTATAACTTTTTATTCAAGAAATTTCAAACATAACACAGATGTGGACAGGGTACTATAGCAAACTTCTACCACACAGTTTCAGCAATTGCCAGTTTATACATACAGTTTAGATTGACTTTTTAAAAAAAATGTTTTTATTTATCTAGTTATTTGTTTTATGTGTGCAAGTGGGTTATATTCATGCATGGAAGTGCACCCTTGTCATGTAATACCCAAAGATGTCAGATAAGAGTGTCAGATCCTGGGGGCTAGAGAGATGGCTCAGCGATTAAGAACACTGATTGTTCTTGCAGAAGACCCTGGTTTGAATCCCAGCACCCACATGGCAGCTAACAACTGTCCGTAACTCCAGTTCCAGGAGACAGCCTCTTTTGTCTTCCATGGGCATTGCATGACACAGGTGCACTTACCTACATGCAGGCAATACACCAGATGTGTGGGGGTGCTCATAGATACCAGCAGAAGGCATCAGATCCCCTGGAACTGGAGTTACAGATGGCTGTGAACAACCATGTAGGTGCTGGGAAGCAAACTCAGGTCCTCTGCAAGAGCAGCCAGTGCTCTTAACCATTGAGCCATCTCTCCAGCCCCTTAGACTGCAAAGTACTTTAAATTTCTATGCATTGTGTTTATGAATGCATATATTCTCGTTAAGTCTTTTTTCTGGACTTTTAAAGGCCCCTGAATAATGTAATTGTGCCCTTTATCTCAATAAGCATAACAAAGGCAGTAGGAAGAGACCTAGACCTACAGTTGAACCCTGGGAGAGCGACTAGGCACTCCCTCTCCCTATCAAAAAGGTTGTTCTTGGTCAGAATTTGTCTGCCTGGGGGTGGTTGGAGCACAGTCAGGTGTGGAAGACCCTCTGGGGAAAGTGGCTTCCTGTAATGTTTCGAAGTGTGGCACCCCTAACCTCAACTGTTCCCCGCAACCTCAACTGTGCCCCCCCCACCTCAACTGTGCCCCCAAAAAAACCCAACCTCAGCTGTGGTCACTACTTTCAGACTAGCAAAGGATTTCTTATCTGTTTCTTCTGGAGATTTTAGACCATATCCAAGATAAATACTGGTTGTAATTTGCTCCTTTTCCCTTGGCTTCCTGGAGCTTGTAAATGGCTGTTTTCCAGAGAACGTGTAATTTATAGAACCCAATGTCCTTCAGCCTGAAGCAGTTCACTGTAGACTCACGGTAACTCTAATAATAATAAATACCTTCTATTGAGCAGTTTGCTCTGCCTGGCCCTGTGTTAAGCACTGTACTAACGCTATTTTATTTAATCTTCAGAGCCATGATCTGAAAAGAATTGAGCGCTTTAATAATTGACCTAAAGTCTCAAAGTCAGGACCAAGAAGCAGTCTGTGAAAGGGATTGGGGGTTAGGACTGGAGTTACTGAGCCTTGTGGCCTTAGGCGAGTTGCTTAGGTTTCACCAAGTATAAAATGAGAGAAAATAATACTTTGAGTGTTTAGAGGGAAAGGAACATGGTGCTGTATATAAAACTCGTAGAGCTCTGAATGTGCATTGAGGGAAAGCTGCAAGGCTGTGTGCTTAACTCTTAGGCTCTCCGACAGTTGTCCTTTCTTAATGTTCACGCTGGGCTTCTGGGCAGGAGCTTGGGGTACAACTGTTAGTCAGCTGACATTCACATACACCTTTGAATTGTAGGACAGTCTAGTTCACAGTTGACGATGTCTCAAGCTTTAGAAAAAAACAAAGAAGAATAAACAACCCAATACTGAAGTGGGTCAGGTGAGTACATTTGAGGCGCAGGTGCGGGTGTTTTCCTAGTGTTATTTTTAGCAAAGTATTTCTGAAGGCCCCTGGTTGGTAGGACCCGGACTAGAGTGGCTGTGGACTGTGGTGTGAGAGGGTTGGATTGTGAGTGGACAGGTCAGGTCTTTTCTGGAAGCAGAGAGATGAAACAGCAGAAAGCTGATGAATCACAGTGCTGCAGGGTGGTGGGCTTGCTCCCCTGGTGCAGAGCACAACAGTTTGGCCCAGTCCTTCTGGCGATGTCAGGAATGCCTGTTACTTAATGGAGCTTATCCTAGTTGGAAGGGACTCTGAGCACAAGGAGGATAATATACTGGGCCAATCAGATAATCTCTCAGAATCCAAGAGCAGGAAATGCAATCAGGAGTCTCAGAGGACTGGGGCTGTGAACGTGAGGCCTTCACACCCAGGCCAGCTGGTGGTAGTTCCCTGCGTTTGATGGACTTTACTGTTGCCCCTCTGCTTGTGCTCTTTACCTCCTCCCCCTCCTTCTAGTCCAGCTTTTGCTGCTGTTCCATGCACGTGGCTCAGGACGGTGCCTTACAGTGGCTGTTTTAACCTTCACGTCAAGATGGATGGAGGCCTGAATACCACCCCAGCATCTTTATTTGTATTGCTTTGGAGAAAGCCTGATGGTCTTCACCTTAACTCAAGGGACTGTGAGCCCTGGTCGGGGTGGTGGAGGCATGTGGAATCATATGTCACAAATATGGTTGCCAG